TTTATTGACCTATTTCACTAATCTTTGATTGTTTTATTTGATGGAAATGTTAAAACCTACATATGTATATATCAATTTTTATTTTCAAATGCAGTTTCACAAGTTCTTATAATTAATGCATACAAATTTTCATCAAAATAAAATAAATTACCCATATGTATATATATATTCACTAAAAAAATATATGTCTAATTTTCATCATGTCCCTGTCGATTTATCATGCAAATTATTTGATTCACTAATTAAACCCATAATTTTATATAAGAGCGAAATTTGGTTTATGGAAGATTATATTACTCAATTTTTAGAGCCATAAACAGAGCCAAAATGCATGGAACTAACTGTGATATTTTATCCTTGACAGATTGATTCAGCTTTGAGAAAGTGCTTCATAAATTTTGTAAAACTGTTCTTGGATTTAAAAAAACCTCATGTAATATAGCTGCAAACTCTGAGTTAGGACGGTTTCCACTTGACTCCTTTATAAAAACTCAAGTTTTATTATATTTTTGTAGAATTAACTGCCATGAAATAAACCCTCTTGTTAAAGAAGCTTCCAAAGTAAATAAGTCTATGTCTGAAGATGGAATATATACTTGGTACACTTCTGCCAAGCACATTTTTAAAAATTTTAATATTGATGAACAAGAATACATTGATTTTGATAAACCTTTTAAACTTATAAAAATTTCACTTAAAAAAACTTTTAAACATATTGTTAAAGAAAAGTATGATAAAATCACTCTTGAAAAACTTTCAAATATCGATAACAGTTCAAAACTTTACCTTTATAGTAAACTTAAAAATGAAATTAAACTGGAAGACTAAAGTTGCTCAATCTAAACAATTTTAATAGTCGTCCACATTTAACAAGTGACCATAACTTGGAAATTGAAATAGGTCGGTCACTCGATATAAAAAAAATTCAAAGAGAACACAGAGTGTGTAAAGTTTGTAAATTTTAGATGATAAAGAACACTTTTTCCTTCATTGCCAAATCAACAGTAATATTAGAAACCCCTAATAAATGCAATTAAAACCCATTATTCTAATTTTAACCAGCTTGACTCAAACTCTAAACTTAAAACTATTTTAGATCCCAATAAACATGATAAAGATATTTTGTCTAATGTTGTATGCTATATAAAGCAATCAATGGAATTGCAAAAAATAAGGTCCACATTGGTCAATTATCTATATATATATATTATTAATATTAACATGACTTGTTTAACACTTTTTTTCATGTTTTGTATGTTTCTTGTCACTTGTGTATATCATGTTTGCATTTTAACCCTTCAGGGTTTCACTTTTTGCAATAAAGTTATATATAAAAATTTACAGATAATACTTTGCCTGAATTTTAATGGTTATATTAAAGTACTTTTAAACATTCAAGGCCTATGACATGTTTGACATGAATTCCTTTTGTCTTGCCTTGAAGGAGTCAAAAAGCGAGACATATATAGGTTTATAAAAATAAGAAGATGTGGTTATTATATGATTGCCAATGAAACAACTCTCTGAAAAATGTATTCCACAACAAGAAACATGTATCATTCACTGAGTATACAGTTTTGTACCAGCTCTAAATTATCCTAAATAATATGCACATAGAAAATGGATAAATTACGAAGGATTATAATAAGATATACTGGATTGGTCCTGGACCCGCAGTGTTTATTTCATTAATTATGGAATAAGGTTTATATAATCTTTAAGTTAATGAATTTAAATCATGACAATGTATCAGCAGTTCTAAATTTTATATATTTATCCAAAGTATCTAATACAGTTATAACAATATAAAGTCTACCAAAAATATTGAAAGAGCTTAAGTAATACACATAATATGACTCATCAAGATCGCACTAAAATAACCTGTCTTACTAACTTTGTTTTAAATTCATTTTCAAGGATGGTAGTTGCAATTAGGTCAAACAGAATGTGGTTATTTGATATATAATTTGTAATTTTCATACACACATTCTCCACCACTGTGAAATAGAGGCACTATATGGGATTATTTGGCTGTGTTTAAAATATTTTATGAAATCTATTATTGGTACCTATTTTGATATTTGTAACCTATTGCATAATTAATTCTTTATATATTGTCATAAATGTCATATAAACAAATTAAAAATGTTTGTGACAAAAGCACATACTGGTATATATTTGATATGAAACATAAAATACAAATGCAAATAAATACAAATATTTTATTGACACAAACTCAATTACAATAATTGGCAACAGCCCATACAACTAGTACACAAATGGTAATGATGCAGCAATTAAACAATACTACATAACATATTAATAGGCACATTTGAACAATGAAATTTGCAGTTATATATATATATATATTAATATACATAGGTTAATGTAGAATAGGCTACTGACATACATACATTGTATGTTATAGCTTCATAATGTTCATATTACTCATTTGTCTGGACATTTTTCCTTAATTCAAATGATTGATTAATAAAAGATGATATTAATCTAAGTGTTTTCTACACTTGTTATTAAGTAGTAGTTTGATATATTCGTCCTCAGTTTTGGATTGTTTGTCATAATTTTTAAAATTGGACAATTTTGATATAAGGACATTTCTTTGTGATTCATATTTTGTACAGTGCAAGATAAAATGTTTTTCGTCTACTATTTTATTATTATGACATAATTTGCACAACCTTTCTTCTCTGTTAACTCGCAGGTACCTGCCCCTTTCAATTTCAAGATTGTGTGCACTTAGCCTAAGTTTTGTCAAAGGTGCCCTAGCTATCTTTCAACATATTCAATTGATCAACATAGTGTGCACATTTATTTGAAAAACAATAATGTCGAAAAAATTATAATTTTTATGATTCCGTAATATATGAATTCTGTTCCTGTAAAATTTGGTCATGAATTCGTTGTTTTATTTGAGCAAGCATAGGTTTAATAGGTACATGGAAAGATGTTAAATACGAGAAGCCTAGATTTTGGATACATTTCTTCATATTACTTGTCCATATGTTGTTTTCTCTTTTTTAATAAAAATGTCAAAGGCTTTTTTTAAATCAATAAATGCAGCATAAACCACTCCTATGTTTAGTCCTGTATTGTTCAATAATTGATTCCAATGAAAAAATATGATCAGCTGTTCGATTATGTTCCATAAAACCAATTTGGTTTTTATACGACCGCAAAAAATTTTTGTGGTAGTATATTGGTATGACGTTGGCGTCGTCGTCGTCCGGCGTCGTCGTCGTCCGAAGACACATTGGTTTTCGCACTCTAACTTAAGTTTAAGTGAATGGATCTCTATGAAATTTTACCATAAGGTTCAATACCACAAAAGGAAGGTTGGGATTGATTTTGGGGGTTATGGTACCAACAGTTGAGGAAAAAGGGGCCAAAAAGGGGCCAAAAATAAGCATTTTTGTAACTTCCAGACATAACTTGTGTGTTAGTGTATGGATCTCTCTGACATTGTACCACAAGGTTCCATATCACAAAGGGAATCCTCAGATTGATTTTGGGGGTAAAATTTTTGCCTCAAAATTTTAGGAATTAGGGGCTAAAAAAGGGGCAAAAAACAAGCATTTTTCTAGTTTCATGACAATAACTTGTGTGTAAGTGTATGGATCTTTCTGAAATTGTACTACAAGGTTTCATATCACAAAGAGAAAGCTGGAATTGAGTTTGGGGGTAATTGCCAAAATGTTTAGGAATAAGGGGCCAAAAATAAGCTTTTTTCTAGTTTCCAGACAATAACTTGTGTTCAAGTGTATGGATCTCTCTGAAATTGTACTGGAAGGTTCCATATCACAAAGGGAATGTTTGGATTGATTTTGGGGGTCAATGCCTTAAAATTTTAGGAATTAGGGGCCAAAAAAGGGGCAAAAAACAAGCATTTTTCTAGTTTCATGACAATAACTTGTGTGTAAGTCTATGGATCTTTCTGAAATTGTACTACAAGGTTCCATATCACAAAGGGAAAGCTGGAATTGAGTTTGGGGGTAATTGCCCAAATGTTTAAGAATAAGGGGCCAAAAGGGGGCCAAAAATAAGCATTTTTCTAGTTTCCAGACAATAACTTGTGTTCAAGTGTATGGATCTCTCTGAAATTATACTACAAGGTACCATACCACAAACGGAAGGCTGGGAATGATTTTGGGGGTAATTGCCTCAAAATTTTAGAAATTAGGGGCCAAAAAGGGGCAAAAACAAGCATTTTTGTCGAGCCTGCGACTTTTGGTCTTTTTTTCTAATACTGCATGCAATAGGTCAGCTATATTTGGTGTATGGAATGATTGTAAGGTGTACATGTCTAGCTGGCAGGTGTCATCTTACCTTGACCTCATTTTCATGGTTCAGTGGTCAAAGTTAAGTTTTTGAGTTTTGGTCTTTTTTTCTAATACTATATGCAATAGTTCAACTATATTTGGTGTATGGAAATATTTTATGATCTATATGTCAGTCACGCAGGTTTTATTTGACCTTGACCTCATTTTCAAGGTTCATTGCTCAGTGTTAAGTTTTTGTGTTTTCGTCTGTTTTTCTTAAACTATAAGCAATAGGTCAACTATATTTGTTGTATGGAAGAATTGTTAGCTGTACATGCCTGCCTAGCATGGTTCATCTGACCTTGACCTCATTTTCATGGTTCATTGGTCAATGTTTAGTTTACTTGGTTAATGTTAAGTTTATGTGACAGTTGTAATAAAGCTTTATATTTAGGACTATCAACATAATATCAATGATTAGAAAAGAAGGCGAGACATTTCAGCGTGTGCACTCTTGTTCTAGTTTCAGGACAATAACTTGTTTGTAAGTGAATGGTTCTTTATGAAATTGTACTACAAGGTTCCATATCACAAAGGGAAAGCTGGGTTTGAGTTTGGGGGTGATGAATCATAAGGGGGTTTAAAAAATTAGGGGGGGATTTTTTTTTCCTTTTTTTTTCTTTAAAATTTTCCATTTTAAATTGGTTATTTCTGATTTATATATAAAAGCAAATAATAATGATATGGTTTGAATAGGTAAATTAAAAATTTTTAAGTTCTTAGATCACATTCATTCTGTGTCAGAAACCTATGCTGTGTCAAATATTTAATTACAATCCAAATTCAGTGCTGTATCAAGCTTGAATGTTGTGTCCATACTTGCCCCAACTGTTCAGGGTTCGACCTCTGCAGTCATATCAAGCTGCGCCCAGCGGAGCATTTTATCGCTAATCAAATTGTTGCATTGGGTAAATTTTAACAATCTGGCATGTATAATCTTGTTAAATACTTTTCCTAGGTTTGAACTGATAGAAATCCCTCGGTAATTTCTAGGGTCAGCCTTACTAACCTTTTTGTGATACAAAAATACAAGTCACAAAAGATTTAAAGTGATTTTGGTTTTAGTATAATACTGTCTAGATTTCGACAGAATGTGACTTTGCATGCATATTTATATAATTCACTCAGCAAAAAGGGACACCCATTGTGCTTTATGGAATTGTTTGAGTTTTATCTGATTGTTCCAGATTAGGGAGCCTTCAACTTGCACTGTCATGCAATGTTTGAGTGTTTGCTTCATTTTTGAGTCCTCACTCATGCACCTATTTAAGATGAAAAACAGCAAAGAAGGTGCAAATCATTTGGGTTTTTTTTTGTCTCCTGTGCAATGCATTATGACCCTTAGAAATATTGATAATTTGGAAAATTGCATTGTTAGCGCTCTCATGTGTACAATTCTTTGCCAGATTTATATAAAACTTATATCATAGGGTTATACTTATGTTGTAGGTTTATATCAAATATGTCTGAGACAAGGTCGAAAATCAGTGCCGATTGATAATTTCTATTAGAGTTATGGCTTTTAGAAATATAAATAATATGGGAAATTGCATTGTTAGCCCTCCCCTGTGCACAATTCCTGCCAAATTTTTATGAAACTTATATTGTAGGTTAATATCAGCGATGTCTTGGATGAGTTCAAAAATAAATGCCGATCACATTATTTTTAAAAAAGTTATGCTCCTTGGAAGTATTGATTATATGGAAATTTGTATTGTATAAAGCGCTCTCACTTGTCCAAATTTGCCAGGTTTTTAACAAATTCATATCAAAGGTTAATTATAAATAAGTGTAGTTGAATCAAACATTTTTGCCTAAATGGTTACTCAGATAATCTTTAGACCTGTTAACCATTAGTTAAGTTGATGTGTTGAGGCCTTATCTATAGTACTGTTTAAAGTACCATTTTTATGATACATTTCAAGACTTCGTTGATTTGCATTTCAGCATTTTTGAGTGGGCATTCACGTATGACAAAGCCTTGGACAATGGAGGTGGCATATATTTAGATGTAGCTCACCTTGCCTGTTGTTCGTCGTCTGTTAACTTTTACAAAAATCTTCTCCTCTGAAACTACTCTGTCATATTTTACAAAACTTAGTCACAATCATCATTGGGGTATTTAGTTTTAAAAAATGTGTCCGATGACCCCGCCTGCCAACCAAGATGGCCGCCATGGCTAAAAATAGAATATAGGGGTAAATACAGTTTTTGGCTTATATCTCTGAAACTAAAGCATTTAGAGTAAATCTAACAGGGATAAAAATATTCATCAGGTTTAGATCTATGTGCCCTGAAATTTTCAGACAAATCATGCAGACAACACGTTGTTGGGTTGCTGCCCCTGAATTGGTAATTTTAAGGAAATTTTGCAGTTTTTGGTTACTATCTTGAATATTATTACAGATAGAGATAAACTGTAAACAGCAATAATATTCAGCATAGTAAGATCTACAAATAAATCAACATGAACAAAATTTTCAATTGACCCATTAAGGAGTAATTGCCCTTTATAGTCAATTTTTAACAATTTTTCATAAATTTTTGTAATCTTTTACAAAAATCTTCTCCTCTGAAACTACTGAGACAAATTTAACCAAACTTGGTCACAATCATCATTAGGGTATTTAGTTTGAAAAATTTGTCCGATGACCCCACCTGCCAACCAAAATGACCGACATGGCTAATGGTGAGCAATACAGGCTCCTTGGAGCCTCTAGTTTTCTTGTACTATATGCAATAGATCAACTATATTTGGTGTATGGAAATATTTAACAATGTACATGTATGTCAGTCTTGCAGGTTTTATTGGACCTTGACCTTATTTCTCAGTGTTAAGGTTTTGTCAAGCCTGCGACTTTTGTTGAGAAAGCTCGACATAGGGATAGTGATTTTGGGGCGGCGGTGTTAGCTTACTTCTTAAAAGCTTTATATTTTCAAAGGTAGAAGACCTGGATGCTTCATACTTTGTATATAGTTGCCTTATGTTATGAAGTTTCCGTCTGTCATGTCTGTCCATTGTCCTTGACCTCATTTTCATGGTTCAGTGACTACTTGAAAAAAAGTAAAGATTTTTTGTAATGTTAATTTCTCTTTTATTATGAGTAATAGGATTACTATATTTAATATGTGCGTACCTTGCAAGGTCCTCATGCCCGTCAGACAGTTTTCATCTGACCTCCACCTCATTTCATGGATCAGTGAACACGGTTAAGTTTTCGTGGTCAAATTCATATATCAGATACTTTTAGCAATAGGTCTTCTATATTTGGTGTATGGAATGATTGTAAGGTGTACATGTCTAACTGGCAGGTGTCATCTGACCTTGACCTGATTTTCATGGTTCAGTGGTTAAAGTTAAGTTTTTTTGTTTTGGTCTTTTTTCTAATACTATATGCAATAGGTCAACTATATTTGGTGTATGGAAATATTTTACAATGTACATGTCAGTCTGGCCGGTTTTATTTGACCTTGACCTCATTTTCAACGTTCATTGGTCAGTGTTTGAATAGTTTTTGTCGAGCCTGCAACTTTTGTCGCAGAAAGCTCGACATAGGGATAGTGATCCGGCTGCAGTGGCAGCAGCTACAGCGGTGGCAGTGGCGTTAGCTAACTTCTTAAAAGCTTTATATTTTAGAAGCTAGAAGACCTGGATGCTTCATACTTTGTATATAGATGCCTTATGTTACGAAGTTTCCGTCTGTCATATGTCCATTGTCCTTGACCTCATTTTCATGGTTCAGTAAAATTGAGAATGGAAACTACTTGAAAAAAAAGTCAACATGTTTTGTTATGTTAATTTCTTTCTTATTATGAGTAATAGGATAACTATATTTAGTATGTCTACCTTGCAAGGTCCTCATGCCCGTCAGACAATGTTGATTTGACCTCGACCTCATTTCATGGATCAGTGAAAAAGGTTAAGTTTTCACGGTCAAGTCCATTGTATATGAAATGATTGTAAGGTGTACATGTCCAACTGGTAGGTGTCATCTGACCTTGACCTCATTTTCATGGTTCAGTGGTCAAAGTTAAGTTTTTGAGTTTTGGTCTTTTTTTCTTATACTATATGCAATAGGTCAACTATAAATGGTGTATAGAAATATTTTATGATGTACATGTCAGTCTCACAGGTTTTATTTGACCTTGACCTCATTTTCATGGTTCATTTCTCAGTGTTCAGTTTTTTGTGTTTTGGTCTGTTTTTCTTCAACTATAAGTAATAGATCAACTATATTTGATGTATGGAAGGATTGAAGGTGTATATGTCTGTCTGGCAGGTATCATCTGACCTTGACCTCATTTTCATGGTTCATTGGTCAATGTTAAGTTTTCATGGTTAAGTTTGTTTCTTAAATACTATAAGCAATAGGTTAGCTATATTTAATGCCTAAATTGATTGTAAGGTGTACATGCATGTCTGTCTGGCATGGTTCATTTGACCTTGACCTCATTTTCATGGTTCATTTCTCAGTGTTAAGTTTTTGTGTTTTGGTCTGTTTTTCTTCAACTAAAAGCAATAGATCAACTATATTTGATGTATGGAAGGATAATGTAAGGTGTATATGTTTGTCTGTCAGGTATCATCTGACCTTGACCTTATTTTCATGGTTCATTGGTCAATGTTAAGTTTTCATGGTTAAGTTTGTTTCTTAGATACAATAAGCAATAGGTCAACTATGTTTGCTTTATTGAATGATTGTAAGGTGTACATGTATTTCTCGTTTGGTTTATCTGACCTTGACCTCATTTTACTTGGATCATGTTAAGTTTATGTGTTACTTGTAGTAAAGCTTTGTATTTAGGACTATCAACATAAAATCAATGGTTAGTAAAGAAGGCGAGACATTTCAGCATGTGCACTCTTGTTGTGTTTTGGTCTGTTTTCTTAAACTATAACCAATAGGTCAACTATATTTGTTGTATGGAATGATTGTTAGGTGTATATGTCTCTCTGGCAGGTATTATCTGACCTTGACCTCATTTTCATGGGTCATTGGTCAATGTTAAGTTTGTTATGCCCACGCCGTAGCGGAGGGGGCATTAAGTTTTACCATTGTCTGTCTGTACGTATGTCTGTACGTCCATCCGTCCGTACGTCCCAAAATTGGTTTCCGTTCTCTAACTTTAGTTTGCCTCAACCAAATGTTATGAAACTTATACACAATGCTTATTACCACATAACACAGATCAAGTTTCAATTTTGGTGGCGTCACTTTAACCGTTCTAGAGTTATGCCCCTTTACAAATGGAAACGTTCTCTAACTTTAGTTTGACTCAACCAAATATTATGAAACTTATACACAATGCTTATTACCACAAAACACAGATGAAGTTTGAATTTTGGTGGCATCACTTTTACCGTTCTAGAGTTCCCTTTACAAATGGAAAAATTGCTTTTCTCATCACTTGGCGTTCGTCGTTTGCGTCCATCTTCGTCGTTGTCTGTCGTCGTTAGCTTTTTACAAAAATCTTCTGCTCTGAAACCACTGGGCCACCAAATTTGGCCAAAATCATCATTAGGGTATGTAGTTTAAAAAATGTGTCCGATGACCCTGCCAACCAGCAAAGATGGCAGCCATGGCTAGAAATAGAACATAGGGGTAAAATGTAGATTTTGGCTTTTATCTCTGAAAACAAAGCATTTAGAGTAAATCTGACACATGGTAAAACTGATTATCACATGAAGATCTATCTGTCCTGAAATTTTCAGACAAATCTGACAACCTGTTGTTGGGTTGCTGCCCCTGAATTGGTAATTTAAGGAAATTTTGCAGTTTTTGGTTATCATCTTGAATATTATAGATAGAGATAAACTGTAAATAGCAATAATGTCCAGCAAAGTAAGATCTACAAATAAGTCGTCATGACAAAAATTGTCAGTTGACCTCTTTAGGCGTTATTGCCCTTTATAGTCAATTTGTTGTAAATTTTTGTAATCTTTTACAAAAATCTTCTCTGAAACTACTGAGACAAAGTTAACCATACTTGGCCATAATCATTATTAGGGTATCTAGTTTGAAAAATTTGTCCGAATACCCCACCTTCCAACCATCATGGCTAACTTGGTTAAAAATAAAATATAGGGGTAAAATGCAGTTTTTGGTTTATATCTCTGAAACTAAAGCATTTAGAGCAAATCTGACAGGTGGCTAAAATGTTCATCAGATTGAGATTTATCTGCCCTGAAATTTTCAGGCGAATCCTACAACCTGTTGTTGGGTTGCTGCCCCTGAGTTAGTAATTTTACAGAAATTTTGCAGTTTTTAGCTCACCTGGCCCAAAGGGCCAAGTGAGCTTTTCTCATCACGTGGCGTCCGGCGTCTGGCGTCCATAGTCCGTTAACTTTTACAAAAATCTTAATTCTCCTCTGAAACTACTGAGCCAAATTTAACCAAACTTGGCCACAATCATCATTGGGGTATCTAGTTTAAAAATGTGTCCGGTGACCCAGCCAACCAACCATGATGGCCACCATGGCTAAATATAGAACATAGGGGTAAAATGTAGATTTTGGCTTATATCTCTGAAACCAAAGCATTTAGAGCAAATCTGACATGGGGTAATATTGTTTATCAGGTCAAGATCCATATGCCCTGAAATTTTGAGATGAATGGGACAACTTGTTATTGGGTTGCTGCCCCTGAATAGGTAATTTTAAGGAAATTTTGCAGTTTTTATACGACCGCAAAAAAATTTTTGTGGTCGTATATTGGTATGACGTTGGCGTCGTCGTCGTCGTCGTCGTACGAAGACACATTAGTTTTCGCACTCTAACTTTAGTTTAAGTGAATGGATCTCAATGAAATTTTACCATAAGGTTCAATACCACAAAAGGAAGGTGGGGATTGATTTTGGGGGTTATGGTACCAACAGTTAAGGAATTAGGGGCCAAAAAGGGGCCAAAAGTAAGCATTTTTCTAGTTTCATGACAATAACTTGGTGTGTAAGTCTATGGATCTCTCTGACATTGTATCACAAGGTTCCATATCACAAAGGGAATGCTGGGATTGATTTTGGAGGTAATTGCCTCCAAATTTTAGGAATTAGGGGCCAAAAAGGGGCAAAAAACAAGCATTTTTCTATTTTCATGACAATAACTTGTGTGTAAGTGTATGGATCTTTATGAAATTGTACTACAAGGTTCCATATCACAAAGGGAAAGCTGGAATTGAGTTTGGGGATAATTGCCCAAAAAGCTTAGGAAAAAGGGACCAACAAGGGGCCAAAAATAAGCATTTTTCTAGTTTCCAGACAATAACTTGTGTTCAAGTGTATGGATCTCTCTGAAATTATACTGCAAGGTACCATACCACAAAGGGAAGGCTGGGATTGATTTTGGGGGTAATTCCCTCAAAATTTTAGTAATTAGGGGCCATAAAAGGGCAAAAAAACAAGCATTTTTCTAGTTTCAGGACAATAACTTGTATGTAAGTGTATGGATCTTTATGAAAGTGTACTGCAAGGTTCCATATCACAAAGGGAAAGCTGGGTTTGAGTTTGAGGGTAATTGCCCTAAACGTTTAGGAATTTGGGGCCAAAAAGGGGCCAAAAAACAAGCATTTTTCTAGTTTCCAGACAATAACTTGTGTTCAAGTGTATTGATCTCTCTGAAATTGTACTGCAAGGTACCATACCACAAAGGGAAGGCTGGGATTAAGTTTGGGGGTGATGAATCATAAGGGGGTTCAAAAAAATTGGGGGGGGGGGAGGATTTATTTTTCCTTTTTAAATTGGTTTTTTCTGATTTATATATAAAAACAAATAATACTGATATGGTTTGAATAGGTAAATTAAAATATTTTAAGTTCTTAGACCACTTTCATTCTGTGCCAGAAACCTATGCTGTGTCAAATATTTAATTACAATCCAAATTCAGTGCTGTATCAAGCTTGAATGTTGTGTCCATACTTGCCCCAACTGTTCAGGGTTCGACCTCTGCGGTCGTATCAAGCTGCGCCCCAGCGGAGCATTTTATTGGTTATTATCTTGAATATTATTATAGATAGAGATAAACTGTAAACAGCAATAATGTCCAGCAAAGTAAGATCTACAAATAAGTCGTCATGACCAAAATTGTCAGTTGACCCCTTTAGGAGTTATTGCCCTTTATAGTCAATTTTTCGTAAATTTTTGTTGTCTTTTACAAAAATCTTCTTCTCTGAAACTACTGAGACAAATTTAACCATACTTGGCCATAATCATTATTAGGGTATCTAGTTTGAAAAATTTGTCCGATGACCCCACCTGCCAACCATCATGGCTGACTTGGTTAAAAATAGAACATAGGGGTAAAATGCAGTTTTTGGTTTATATCTCTGAAACTAAAGCATTTAGAGCAAATCTCACAGGTGACAAAAATGTTCATCAGATTGAGATTTATCTGCCTTCAAATTTTCAGACGAATCCGACAAACCGTTGTTGGGTTGCTGCCCTGAGTAAGTAATTTTACAGAAATTTTGCAGTTTTTTGTTATCTTAGGTATCATTATAATATCTAATATCTAATACTATTAATTATGATTTTAACCTTATTTTACATGATTTCCAAAGCATCAGTAAATACAGGTGAGCAACACAGGCTCTTGAGAGCCTCTAGTTTCAGTCAAATTTGTCAACTGTCTACCTAATATTATACAATAATAAAATGAGTACTTGTGGCATGATTGCCAATGAGATAACTTTGTACCAGAGACCAAAGGGCAGGTGGATGAGTACTGAAAATTGTCTCTTGTCCTCGACATCAGGAATACTGATATAAGCATTTTTTATCGTAAAATACTTACTTACAGATTGTGGTTTGAAAGTATATTTCTTTCCTAGTAGAAATTTATATCCATTTCTAGTACATTTCTAACAAACTTTTGGTACATTGTAAGTCTCCGTTCACTTTATTTTTAATGTTTTGCAGCTAAAAGTATTATTTCAAATTGGACAGTGTTCAGCAGCAAGTATTACAATGTGATTTGGATGAGATTAAAAGGTATATATCTTGAGGCACATACTGACCCATAGAATAAAGAGAAGAAGGAAAGACAGTGAAAAACAGGAAATATTTGAAAGGGTAAACATTTATTTTTCAAAAAAAAAAACTGATTATGGTCTTCTTAAATTTCATTACTGTGATAAAGATTTATGTTAATTTCCATCAGGAAATTGGTATACCTTATTTCATATTAATTGGTACAAAATATGCTTTACAACCAAATATAGTGTATAAAAATAAAGAAATATTGTGTTTTAAGTAAACAATATAAAAAAATATCCTGTTCTGCAATTGAGTAAAAAGAACCATTTCATTGAAGGAACTGGGATGTATAAGTAATCTCCCACACATTGCGCTTACTAAGATTTGATTTCATTCAAATTTGTCAACTGTCTACCTAATATTTTACAATAATAAAATGGGTACATGTGGCATGATTGCCAATGAGATAACTTTGTACCAGAGACCAAAGGCAAGTGGATGAGTACTGAAAATTGTCTCTTGTCCTCTACATCAGGAATACTTATATAGGCATTTTTATACGACCGCAAAAAAATTTTTGTGGTCGTATATTGGTATGACGTCGTCGTCCGAAGACACATTGGTTTTCGCACTCTAACTTTAGTTTAAGTGAATGGATCTCTATGAAATTTTACCACAAGGTTCAATACCACTAAAGGAAGGTTGGGATTGATTTTGGGGGTTATGGTACCAACAGTAAAGGAATTAGGGGCCAAAAAGGGGCCAAAAATAAGCATTTTTGTAACTTCCAGACATAACTTGTGTGTTAGTGTATGGATCTCTCTGACATTGTACCACAAGGTTCCTTATCACAAAAGGAATGCTGGGATTGATTTTGGGGGTAATTGCCTCAAAATTTTAGGAATTAGGGGCAAAAAAAGGGGCAATAAAAAAAAGCATTTTTCTAGTTTCATGACAATAACTTGTGTGTAAGTGTATGGATCTTTCTGAAATTGTACTACAAGGTTCCATATCACAAAGGGAAAGCTGGAATTGTGTTTGGGGGTAATTGCCGAAACGTTTAGGAATTTGGGGCCAAAAAGGGGCCAAAAATAAGCATTTTTCTAGTTTCCAGACAATAACTTGTGTTCAAGTGTATGTATCTCTCTGAAATTGTACTGCAAGGTACCATACCACAAAGGGAAGGCTGGGATTGATGATGGGGGTAATTGCCTCAATATTTTATGAATTAAGGGCCAAAAAGGGGCAAAAAACAAGCATTTTTCTAGTTGCAGGACAATAACTTGTGTGTAAGTGTATGGATCTTTCTGAAATTGTACTACAAGGTTCCATATCACAAAGGGAAAGCTGGGTTTGAGGTTGGGGGTAATTGCCCTAAACGTTTAGGAATTTTGGGCCAAAAAGGGGCCAAAAAACACATTTGTCTAGTTTCCAGACAATAACTTGTGTTCAAGTGTATGGATCCCTCTGAAATTGTACTGCAAGGTACCATACCACAAAGGGAAGGCTTGGATGAATCATAAGGGGGTTCAAAAAATTTTGGGGGGGATTTTTTTTTTCATTTTTTTCTTTTTTTCCTTTTTTTTTTCTTTTTAAATTTTCCATTTTAAGTTGGTTATTTCTGATTTATATTTAAAAGCAAATAATAATGATATGGTAGGAGATACACACCAAACAGGATGTGTAAATTATTATATAATAAGTATTGTGCAATAGCAAGAAATTTTCAATTGCACAGTATTGCACAATAGCAAGAAATCTTCAATTGCACAGTATTGCGCAATAGCAAGAAATCTTCAATTGCACAATATTGCGCAATAGCAAGAAATATCCAATAGCACAATATTGCGCAATAGCAAGAAATTGTCAATTGTACAGTATTGCACAATAGCAAGAAATATTTAATTGCACAGTATTGTGCAAAAGAAGATACTTCGTATAAATTGCTTATTTCTTGACCAATTTCAATGGGGTTTTATTCTTGAATTCTTGGGGTTCTTTAATATGCTGAATCTAACTGTGTATTTAGTTTGTGGATTTTGGGCCCTGTTTTTAAATTGGTCCACATTGAGTTCCAAAGGGTCTAAAATTAAACTTTGTTTGATTTCGTCAAAAAATTGAATTATTGGGGTTCTTTGATATGCCGAATCTAACCGTGTATTTAGATTCTTAATTTTTGGTTCCGTTTTCAAATTGGTCTACATTAAGGTCCAAAGGGTCCAAAATTAAACTTAGTTTGATTTTAACAAAAATTGAATTCTTAGGGTTCTTTGATATGCTGAATCTAAACATGTATTTAGATTTTTTATTATGGGCCCAGTTTTCAAGTTGGTCCAAATGGGGGTCTAAAATTTAACTTTGTTTGATTTCAACAAAAATTGAATATATGGGGTTCTTTGATATGCTGAATCTAACCATGTATTTAGATTTTTGATTTTTGGGCCCCGTTATCAACTTTGTCCACATTGAGGTCAAAAGGGTCCAAAATTAAACTTTGTTTGATTTCATCAAAAATTGAATTCTTGGGGTTCTTTGATATGCTGAATCTAACCATGTATTTAGATTTTGGATATTGGACCATAATAGGTGAATGTCCAATTTAAAATTTTCAAGTTCTTAGACCACATTCATTCTGTGTCAGAAACCTATGCTGTGTCAAATATTTAATCACAATCCAAATGCAAAGCTGTATCAAGCTTGAATGTTGTGTCCATACTTGCCCCAACTGTTCAGGGTTCGACCTCTGTGGTCGTATCAAGCTGCACCCTGCGGAGCATTTTATTTATCGTAAAATACTTACTTACGGATTGTGGTTTGAAAGTATATTTCTTTCCTAGTAGAAATTTATATCCATTTCTAGTACCTTTCTAACAAACTTTTGATAAGTCTCCATTCACTTTATTTTTAATGTGTTGCAGCCAGAGTTATTTTTTCAAATTGGACAGTGTTCAGCCACAAGTATTACAATATGATTTGGATGGAACAAAAGCAATGCACATATCATGATGCACATACTGACCCATAGAATAAAGAGAAAGAAAGATAGTGAAAAACAGGAAATATTTGAAAGGGTAAACATTTATTTTTTTAATCTAATAGACTGATTATGACCTTATTAGATTTCATTACTGTGATAAAGATTTATGTTAATTTCCATCAGGAAATTGGTATACCTTATTTCATATAAATAGGTACAAAATTTGCTGTACAACCAAATATAGTGTATAAAATTTCAGAAAAATTGCATTTTAAGTAAACAATGTAAAAAAATATCATGTTCTGCAATTGAGTAAAATTTTAAGATTCATTTCATATAAGGAACTGGGATGTATAAGGAATCTCCCACACATTGCACTTACTAAGATTTTATTTCATTCAAATTTGTCAACTGTCTACCTAATATTTTACAATAATAAAATGAGTACTTGTGGCATGATTGCCAATGAGATAACTTTGTACCAGAGACCAAAGGGCAAGTGGATGAGTACTGAAAATTGTCTCTTGTCCTCTACATCAGGAATACTTATATAGGCATTTTTTATCGTTAGATACTTACTTACGGATTGTGGTTTAAAGTATATTTCTTTCCTAGTAGAAATTTAAATCCATTTCTAGTACCTTTCTAACAAACTTTTGATAAGTCTTCATTCACTTTATTTTTAATGTTGCAGCTAGAGTTATTATTTCAAATTGGACAGTGTTCAGCCGCAAGTATTACAATGTGATTTGGATGAGATCAAAAGCAATGCAAATATCATGATGCACATACTGACCCATAGAATAAAGAGAAAGAAAGATAGTGAAAAACAGGAAATATTTGAAAGGGTAAACATTTCTTTTTTTAATCTAATAGACTGATTATGACCTAATTAGATTTCATTACTGTGATAAAGATTTATGTTAATTTTATCATCAGGAAATTGGTATACCTTATTTCATATTAATTGGTACAAAAATATGCTTTCATTACTGTGATAAAGATTTATGTTAATTTTATCATCAGGAAATTGGTATACCTTATTTCATATTAATTGGTACAAAAATATGCTGTACAACCAAATATAGTGTATAAAATTTCACAAAAATTGTGTTTAAGTAAACAATGTAAAAAATATCCTGTTCTGCAATTGAGTAAAGAGTCATTTCATATAAGGAACTGGGATGTATAAGTACTCTCCCACACATTGTGCTTACTAAAATTTAATTTCATTCAAATTTTTCAACTGTCTACCAAATATTTTACAATAATAAAATGAGTACTTGTTGCATGATTGCCAATGAGATAACTTTGTACCAGAGACCAAAGGGCAAGTGGATGAGTACTGAAAATTGTCTCTTGTCCTCGACATCAGGAATACTGATATAAGCATTTTTTATCATAAAATTCTTACTTACAGATTGTGGTTTGAATGTATATTTCTTTCCTATTAAAAATTTATATCAATTTCTAGTACCTTTCTAACAAATTTTTGATATGTCTCCATTCATTTTATTTTTATACGACCGCAAAAATTAAAAAATTTTTGGTCGTATATTGGTATGACGTTGGCGTTGTCGTCGTCCGAAGACACATTGGTTTTCGCAATCTAACTTTAGTTTAAGTGAATGGATCTCCATGAAATTTTACCATAAGGTTCAATACCACAAAAGGAAGGTTGGGATTGATTTTGGGGGTTATGGTAATAACAGTAAAGGAATTAGGGGCCAAAAAGGGGCCAAAAATAAGCATTTTTGTAACTTCCAGACATAACTTGTGTGTTAGTGTATGGATCTCTCTGACATTGTACCACAAGGTTCCATATCACTAAAGGAATGCTGGGATTGATTTTGGGGGTAATTGCCTCCAAATTTTAGGAATTAGGGGCCAAAAAAGGGGCAAAAAACAAGCATTTTTCTAGTTTCATGACAATAACTTGTGTGTAAGTGTATGGATCTTTCTGAAATTGTACTACAAGGTTCCATATCACAAAGGGAAAGCTGGGTTTGAGTTTGGGGGTAATTGCCCTAAACGTTTAGGAATTTGGGGCCAAAAAGGGGCCAAAAAACACATTTTTTTCTAGTTTCCAGACAATAACATGTGTTCAAGTGTATGGATCTCTCTGAAATTGTACTGCAAGGTACCATACCACAAAGGGAAGGCTGGGATTGAGTTTGGGGGTGATGAATCATAATGGGGGTTCAAAAAATTTGGGGGGGGGGGATTTATTTTTTTTTCCTTTTTTTTTCTTTTTTTCCTTTTTTGTTTCTTTTAAAATTTTCCATTTTAAGTTGGTTATTTCTGATTTATATTTAAAATCAAATAATAATGATATGGTAGGAGATACACACCAAACAGGATGTGTAAATTATTATATAATAAGTATTGTGCAATAGCAAGAAATTTTCAATTGCACATTATTGCACAATAGCAAGAAATCTTCAATTGCACAGTATTGCGCAATAGCAAGAAATCTTCAATTGCACAGTATTGCGCAATAGCAAGAAATATCCAATAGCACAATATTGCGCAATAGCAAGAAATTGTCAATTGTACAGTATTGCGCAATAGCAAGAAATATTTAATAGCACAGGATTGTGCAAAAGAAGATACTTCGTATAAATTGCTTATTTCTTGACCAATTTCAATGGGGTTTTATTCTTGATTTCATGGGGTTCTTTAATATGCTGAATCTAACCGTGTATTTAGTTTTTGGATTTTGGGCCCCGTTTGTAAATTGGTCCACATTGAGGTCCAAAGGGTCCAAAATTAAACTTTGTTTGATTTCATCAAAAATTGAATTATTGGGGTTCTTTGATATGCCGAATCTAACTGTGTATTTAGATTCTTAAATTTTGGTTCCGTTTTCAAATTGGTCTACATTAAGGTCCAAAGGGTCCAAAATTAAACTTAGTTTGATTTTAACAAAAATTGAATTCTTAGGGTTCTTTGATATGCTGAATCTAAACATGTATTTAGATTTTTGATTATGGGCCCAGTTTTCAAGTTGGTCCAAATCGGGGTCCAAAATTAAACTTTGTTTGATTTCAACAAAAATTGAATATATGGGGTTCTTTGATATGCTGAATCTAACCATGTATTTAGATTTTTGATTTTTGGGCCCCGTTATCAACTTTGTCCACATTGAGGTCAAAAGGGTCCAAAATTAAACTTTGTTTGATTTCATCAAAAATTGAAAATTGGGGTTCTTTGATATGCCGAATCTAACCGTGTATTTAGATTCTTAATTTTTGGTTCCGTTTTCAAATTGGTCTACATTAAGGTCCAAAGGGTCCAAAATTAAACTTAGTTTGATTTTAACAAAAATTGAATTCTTAGGGTTCTTTGATATGCTGAATCTAAACATGTATTTAGATTTTTGATTATGGGCCCAGTTTTCAAGTTGGTCCAAATCGGGGTCCAAAATTAAACTTTGTTTGATTTCAACAAAAATTGAATATATGGGGTTCTTTGATATGCTGAATCTAACCATGTATTTAGATTTTTGATTTTTGGGCCCCGTTATTAACTTTGTCCACATTGAGGTCAAAAGGGTCCAAAATTAAACTTTGTTTGATTTCATCAAAAATTGAATTCTTGGGGTTCTTTGATATGCTGAATCTAACCATGTATTTAGATTTTGGATATTGGACCATAATAGGTGAATGTCCAATTTAAAAATTTTAAGTTCTTAGACCACATTCAATCTGTGTTAGAAACCTATGCTGTGTCAAATATTTAATCACAATCCAAATCCAAAGCTGTATCAAGCTTGAATGTTGTGTCCATACTTCCCCCAACTGTTCAGGGTTCGACCTCTGCGGTTGTATCAAGCTGCGCCCTGCGGAGCATTTTATTCTAGTTTCCAGACAATAACTTGTGTTCAAGTGTATGGATCTCTCTGAAATTGTACTGCAAGGTACCATACCACAAAGGGAATGCTGGGATTGATTTTGGGGGTAATTGCCTCAAAATTTTAGGAATTAGGGGCCAAAAAGGGGCAAAAAAACAAGCATTTTTCTAGTTTCAGGACAATAACTTGTGTGTAGGTGTATGGATCTTTATGAAATTGTACTACAAGGTTCCATATCACAAAAGGAAAGCTGGGTTTGAGTTTGGGGGTAATTGCCCTTAACGTTTAGGAATTTGGGGCCAAAAAGGGGCCTAACAACAAGCATTTTTCTAGTTTCCAGACAATAACTTGTGTTCAAGTGTATGGATCTCTCTGAAATTGTACTGCAAGGTACCATATATACCACAAAGGGAAGGCTGGGATTGAGTTTGGGGGTAATTGCCTCAAAATTTTAGGAATTAGTGGCCAAAAAGGGGCAAAAAACAAGCATTTTTCTAGTTTCAGGACAATAACTTGTGTGTAAGTGTATGGATCTTTATGAAATTGTACTACAACGTTCCATATCACAAAAGGAAAGCTGGGTTTGAGTTTGGGGGTAATTGCTCTAAACGTTTAGGAATTTGGGGCAAAAAAGGGGCCTAAAAACAAACATTTTTCTAGTTTCCAGACAATAACTTGTGTTCAAGTGTATGGATCTCTCTGAAATTGTACTGCAAGGTACCATACCACAAAGGGAAGGCTGGGATTGAGTTTGGGGGTGATGAATCATAAGGGGGTTCAAAAAATTTAGTGGAGGGATTTTTTTTTTCTTTAAAATTTTCCATTTTAAATTGGTTATTTCTGATTTATATATAAAAGCAAATAATAATGATATGGTTTGAATAGGTAAATTAAAAATTTTTAAGTTCTTAGACCACATTCATTCTGTGTCAGAAACCTATGCTGTGTCAAGTATTTAATCACAATCCAAATTCAGTGCTGTATCAAGCTTGAATGTTGTGTCCATACTTGCCCCAACTGTTCAGGGTTCGACCTCTGTGGTCGTATCAAGCTGCGCCCCAGCGGAGCATTTTATTAATGTTTTGCAGCTAGAGTTATTATTTCAAATTGTGAAAAAGGCAGATATTCAGTGTGAATTTTTGCCAAGAAAGACCAACAGGTTTGTAGGTTATTATGAATAGAATTGAGAATGGAAATTGGGAAATGGTCAAAGAGCAGAAAACAGTGCAAGGCCACCAATGGGTCTTCAACACGGCGATAAAATTCTGCACTTGGAGGTGGGCTTCAACTGGCCCCTAGACAAAAATGTGTACCAGTTCGTGAAAATTGATGTCACACTTAACTATAAAACATTAAAATGAATTAAAATTAAAAACCGTACAAGACTAACAAAGTCCGGAGGCTCCTGACTTGGGACAGGCGCAAAATTACACTGGTATGAAACATGTTTAGTGAGATCTAAACCCTCCTCCTATACCTCTAGCCAATGTAGAATTAACAAACCCATGCCAATATGCACAGTAAAACTCAAAGAAGTCTGAGTCCGATGTCAAAATAGGTAACAAAAGAAACTAAACACTCGACTCCAATCTTAATTGACTAGGATTGTCAGTTTTCCTATCCACGGTCGGTGGTTTTCTCCGGGCACTCTGGCTTCCTCCACCAATAAAAACTGGCCGCCACGAAATAGCCCAAAAGCGGTGCTTAAAAGTGGCATTAAAACACCAAAAATTTTAAAAAAATCAAATATATCAAATTTAGTATAATTATATTATTTGTTATACCCCACTTAGGGGTATTATGTTTTTCGGTCTGTGCATCCATTCGTTCATCCGTTCATCCTTTCGTTCATCCATCCGTCTGTTTGTTCGTTCATCCGTCTGTCCCGCTTCAGGTTGAAGTTTTTGGTGAAGGTAGTTTTTGATGAAGTTGAAGTCCAATCAACTTGAAACTTAGTACATATGTTCCCTATGATATGATCTTTCTAATTTTAGTGCCAAATTAGAGTTTTTACCCCAATTTCACGGTCCACTGAACTTAGAAAATGAAAGTGCGGGTGGGTCATCCGTGTACTATGGACACATTCATGTTTTTCATAAAATATAGCCTTGTTTTTTTTTAATCAGTAAATATGGAACATGAACTCATTGTTGATGAAAAGATACATAAATGTAGTCATGAAGAAAAATGATTTAGTTCGCCAATGGTGAGAATTTTTCTTGGCAATCTATCAAAAGGAACATTGTAAAAGTTTTCTTGGCTTCAATGAAAGGGTATAATCAGTTACTGTTGATTCATTCAAGATCGTGGGATACCAATTTTCGTGGATTTCGTGGGTACAGGGCAACCATGAATTTCTATGTTCAACGAACTACAAATATTCTATAGGAATGATTGCAGACTTTGACAAAACCACGAAATAAAATATCAACGAAAATGCGAGTTTTCCTTAAACCACGAAAATTGGTACCCATGAAAATAAATTAATTCACAGTATGCATAAGTAACAGATAACTTCAATCAATTGCATGTAGACACTCAGGTCCAGACATGTATTGGTCTTGTTAATGGTCTGACACCTGAGTTTTTATGTTTCATTGATCAGACAATAATTTTTGTTTAGTTAATAGCCATTTCAAACAAAATTCATTTTGATTTCATTTTAAATCAACCTTTTTCATCACATTAATTTTAGTTTTGAGAATGATTTGTATTCATTTTAGGTAAACCTTGTGCACCTGAAGGTCATGGTTATGTGATGGCAGATGGATTTATTCACGCTGAAGTGACAGCAAGTATGTTTAATGTTTCCATCATTAAATTTATTTTAGGTAAATCTTTTTCGCCTGAAGGCTCTGATTACATGATGGCAGATGGTTTAATCCAACCTGAAGAAACAGGAAGTATGTTTAATATTTCGTTGATTAAATTAACAAATTTCATACATATTCAATTTTCAAAAATTTTATTAATATTCCTTTTTTTCAAAATTTATTCACATCATGAAATTTCTGTTTTTTTTTCAGTTTGTAAATAGATATAAGAAGATGTGGTATGAGTGCCAATGAGACAACTCTCCATCCAAGTCAAAATTTATAAAAGTAAACCATGACATGTCAAAGTAAGGTCTTCAACACGGAGCCTTGGCTCACACCGAACAGCAAGCTATAAAGGGCCCCAATAATAACTAGTGTAAAACCATTCAAACAGGAAAACCAACGGTCTAATCTATATAAAAAACGAGAAACAAGAAACACTTATGAACCACATCAACAAACGACAACTACTGAACATCAGATTCCTGACTTAGGACAGGTGCAAACAATTGCAGCGGGTTTAAACGTTTTAATGGTACCAAACCTTCACCCTTATCTGAAACAATAGTGTAACATCACAACATAGAAAGACACACTATAAAGTATCAATTGAAATGGCTTAGCTCAATCAAAAGACATATTAACACCAGTGAACATACACTAAGTCTTTTTTGCCTAAATGTTAATTGTTTTGAGAACATCATTGAAATATAGATCTTTAAAATGATCATTTCCTGCAGACACAATCATCTTAAGTTATGATTTCTGACCACAATAATTAAAAGTAAAACATGAAACGAGTGTCCAATGATTTGACAAACTACAAAATGTTGGCAAGGTGACCACACTGACCCAAATTTTGGCTCACACCGAACAGCAAGTTATAAAGGGCCCCAAAAATTACTAGTGTAAAACCATTCAAACAGGAAAACCAACGGTCTAATCTATATAAAAAACGAGAAACAAGAAACACTTATGAACCACATCAACAAACGACAACTACTGAACATCAGATTCCTGACTTAGGACAGGTGCAAACAATTGCAGCGGGTTTAAACGTTTTAATGGTACCAAACCCTTATCTGAAACAATAGTGTAACATCACAACATAGAAAGACACACTATAAAATATCAATTGAAATGGCTTAGCTTAATCAAAAGACATATTAACACCAGTGAACATACACTGTAAGTCTTTTTTGCCTAAATGTTAATTGTTTTGAGAACATCATTGAAATATAGATCTTTAAAATGATCATTTCCTGCAGACACAATCATCTTAAGTTATGATTTCTGACCACAACAATTAAAAGTAAAACATGAAACCAGTGTCCAATGATTTGACAAACTACAAAATGTTGGTAAGGTGACCACACTGACCCAAATTTCATCAATATTCCAGTTTCAAAAATTGTTTACCTCATGAAATATCCTTTTTTAGCTCACCTGGCCCGAAGGGCCAAGTGAGCTTTTCTCATCACTTGGCGTCCGTCGTCCGTCGTCCGGCGTTGTCCGTCGTCGTCGTTAACTTTTTACATTTTGAACTTCTTCTAGAGAACCACTGAATGGAATGAAAACAAACATGGCATGAATGTTCCTTATGAGGTGCTGACCAAGTGTTGTTACTTTGTAGCGGATCCATCATCCAAGATGGCCGCCAGGGGGGGACTTAGTTTAACATAGGACCCTATTGGAAATACATACAAATGTCTTCTTTTAGAGAACCAGTGAATGGAATGAAACGAAACATGGCATGAATGTTTCTTATGAGGTGCTGACCGAGTGTTGTTACTTTGAAGCCGATCCATAATCCAAGATGGCCGCCAGCGGGGGAATTAGTTTAACATGGGACCCTATGGGAAATACATACAAATGTCTTCTTTTAGAGAACCAGTGAATGGAATGAAACGAAACATGGCATGAATGTTTCTTATGAGGTGCTGACCGAGTTGTTACTTTGAAGACGATCCATAATCCAAGATGGCCGCCAACGGGGGAATTAGTTTAACATAGGACCCTATGGGAAATACATTCAAATGTCTTCTTTTAGAGAACCACTGAATGGAATGAAACCAAACATGGTATGAATGTTCCTTATGAGGTGCTGACAGAGTGTTGTTACTTTGAAGCTGATCCATCATCCAAGATGGCCGCCAGCGGGGGACTTAGTTTAACATGGGACCCTATGGGAAATACATACAAATGTCTTCTTTAGAGAACCACTGAATGGAATGAAACCAAACATGGCATGAATGTTCCTTATGAGGTGCTGACCAATTGTTGTTACTTTGAAGTTGATCCATCATCCAAGATGGCCGCCAGCAGGGGACTTAGTTTAACATTGGACCCTATGGGAAATACATACAAATGTCTTCTTTTAGAGAACCAGTGAATGGATTGAAAGAAACATGGCATGAATGTTTCTTATGAGATGCTGACTGAGTGTTGTTACTTTGAAGCCGATCCATAATCCAAGATGGCCGCCAGCAGGGGACTTAGTTTAACATGGGACCCTATGAGAAATACATACAAATGTCTTCTTTTAGAGAACCACTGAATGGAATGAAACCAAACATGGCATGAATGTTCCTTATGAGGTGCTGACCGAGTGTTGTTACTTTGAAGCCAATCCATAATCCAAGATGGCCGCCAGCGGGGGAATTAGTTTAACATATGACCCTATGGGAAATACATACAAATGTCTTCTTTTAGAGAACCAGTGAATGGAATGAAACGAAACATGGCATGAATGTTTCTTATGAGGTGCTGACCAAGTGTTGTTACTTTGAAGACGATCCATAATCCAAGATGGCCGCCAGCGGGGGAATTAGTTTAACATAGGACACTATGGGAAATACATTCAAATGTCTTCTGTTAGAGAACCACTGAATGGAATGAAACCAAACATGGTATGAATGTTCCTTATGAGGTGCTGACCGAGTGTTGTTACTTTGAAGCTGATCCATCATCCAAGATGGCCGCCAGCGGGGACTTAGTTTAACATGGGACCCTATGGGAAATACATACAAATGTCTTCTTTAGAGAACCACTGAATGGAATGAAACCAAACATGGCATGAATGTTCCTTATGAGGTGCTGACCAATTGTTGTTACTTTGAAGTTGATCCATCATCCAAGATGGCCGCCAGCAGGGGACTTAGTTTAACATTGGACCCTATGGGAAATACATACAAATGTCTTCTTTTAGAGAACCAGTGAATGGATTGAAAGAAACATGGCATGAATGTTTCTTATGAGATGCTGACTGAGT